CCACCCCAAGCCAAGCCCCCCTCGAAGGCCCCGCTCGGCGCTGACGACGAGGACCTGCCGCCTCTGCTCCCCCCCGAGCCGCCCGTGCTGCTGGACCTCTCCCCCCCCGCGGGGGTCCCGGCCCCCCCGGCGCCGCAGCCGCTGCTCAAGAATGACAAGGGTATTTGCGGTTTGCCGTGTGCATGGAGTGTCACTGGCTGCCCACGGGATACTAACCCCGAGCAGGGCCCCGGGCACAGGGCGAGCCACGGGGAGGGGCAGGGCTCGGCACGGCCCCGGGGTCACTAACGCGTGTCCTCGGGCACGGAGCACGGTGTGGTTTGTGGCACGGGCACTGCGAGCGGAGCTGCTGCACACGGAGGCTCGGGCAGAGCCGCCACGGGCCCGTCCTCGCTGCCTGGGGTGTCCCCGGGGTGTCCCCGGGGTGTCCCCGCGTCCGTCCGGCGGCACCGGTGCCGTCCCTGCGCTCTGCCTGAAGTGTTGGGAACCCCGGGCACACCCTGGCACCTGCAGAGGGCTTTGCCAGGGCTTCTGTGTGCCGTGGGCACAGAGGCCCTTTCCAGAGCGGGAAACGGGACTGGATCCAGGTAATGGCTGCATGGGAGCATCCCGGCCGCCTCCGAGGGACACCCAGCTCTGCTTCGGGCACTCGCGTGGTTGGACACGGCTGTGCCAGGGGTCACAAGTGGTGGTGGTGGCACTGCAGATGGTGGCCCTCTGGGCACCCAGAGGGGGGCATCAGGGTGATCCCAAATGATCCCTGGAGTGAAGCCATGGACGTGCAGCAGCCCCGAGGGCTCAGCGAGTGGGGCCTTGGTGCCGTGTGTCACAGGTGCCTGTCACCCTGGGCTGCTGCCACCCCAGGAGTGCCACCCACACTCCTCCTGGTGCCTCAGGCTGGAACTTCCTCAGGGGGCTTGGCATTCCAGACCCCCCAGGCATCCGTGGGGCTCCCCCCATGGCGAGAGCCTGGGGACAGGCTCTCGTGCCACCCTGCTGATGGTGTTTGGGGTGCCGAGATGGCTCCTGATGGCATTTGGGGCACACCACTTAACTGGGCTGACTGGTGACTGCACTGGGAACCAGCAGCAAAGGCTGCACCAAAGCAGCTGCATCCCCTGGGCCTGGCTGAGGTGGGGAGAGTGAGGTGTGTGTGTTCCTGCAGGGTCTGGAACAGAGTCCGACAGCGATGAATCTGTACCAGAGCTCGAAGAGCAAGACTCCACACAGGCCACGACACAGCAGGCGCAGGTAGGGCAGGTGGCACGTGCCATCCTGGTGGATCAGGATCCCTGTGGGTGCTTTCCTGTGTCACCTCGGGGTTGTCACTGTTGTTGTGTCCCCCCGCAGCTCGCGGCAGCGGCCGAAATAGATGAAGAACCCGTCAGCAAAGCAAAACAGAGCCGGAGCGAGAAGAAAGCTCGGAAGGTGAGGGGGGGGTGGGATTCACCTGTCCCTGCTGGGCAGCCCCAGGGCTTGAGGTTGTGCTGGGCATCTCACCAGTCCTGGGACTGGAGCGTTCACTCTGGCTGACACCCGGGAATGCTGCTCACTGAAGGCACATTTCTGTGTGTATCCACACTGCGAGCGTTGGACCGGGCTCTGGAGAGAGCAGTGGGCACATCCGGGCATCTGGAGCTCTTCCTTCCCTCGCTGACCTTCCCCTGGTGTTTTTCAGGCAATGTCCAAACTGGGCCTTCGCCAGGTGACAGGAGTCACCAGGGTCACCATCCGGAAATCCAAGAACATCCTGTTCGTCATCACAAAGCCAGACGTGTACAAGAGCCCGGCGTCAGACACCTACATTGTCTTTGGCGAGGCCAAGGTGAGCCCGCCCTGGTAGCACCTGGGGGCCAGCAGGTTCCTCGTTGTCACCTGTGTGGCTCCCGCCGTGAGTCCCTGGGGACCGTGCCAAGGGCTGGTTTCCCGGCTGGGCCGTGTGGCAGAGCCGTGGGATGTGCTGGCACCACCCAGGACTGGCCTCAGCTCCGCTCCTTCCCTCCTGCAGATCGAAGACCTGTCCCAGCAGGCCCAGCTGGCAGCTGCCGAAAAGTTCAAAGTGCAAGGAGAACCTGTTTCAAACATCCAGGAAAACACACAGACCCCCACCGTGCAGGAGGAGAGCGAGGAAGAGGAGGTAACACCTTCCCCAGCCTGTCTGCGGGGCCGGGCGGGTCTGCTTTGGGATGATCCAGGGATTCCTTTCCTTCATCCGTGTCTGTGGTGGCAAAGGGAGGGTGTGGAGTCCTTCCCCAGGGGGTCTGTGCAGCGCAGGTCTGGCCTCCCAGCTCCCATCCCTGTGGGTGGAGCAGGAGCCTCCCCAGTCCAGGCAGTCTCAGGCTGTGCCAGGCCCGGAGCTGGCGCCGATCCCGGGCTCTGTGTGTCCTGCAGGTTGACGAGACGGGCGTGGAGGTGAAAGACATCGAGCTGGTGATGTCGCAGGCGAACGTGTCGCGGGCGAAGGCCGTGCGAGCCCTCAAGAACAACAGCAACGACATCGTAAACGCGATAATGGTGAGTGCTTGGGGGGTCCTGGGGGGCCCGGGGGGGGGCTCCTGCCTGGCTCCTGACCCCCCTTCTCCCCGCAGGAGCTGACAATGTAGCCGCCGGAGGGAGAGGAGCCTTTTTTGGTGTTTCAGAGAAGAGTAAAATACAGCTAAATTTAAAATTTGTACTATTTCTATCGGTTAATAAAAGTTGTGGCTTATTGTTGGTGAAACACTCGCTGCTCCGTGGTGGTGGTGGTGGTGGTTTGCTGCCCTCCCTTTCCTGGGAGCCCTGGCCCCAGGGTGGAGGCTTCCTCCCGGGAAGATCCCGGCCCTGATACCCCGTCCTGACACCACCTGCCTGTTCCCTCATTTCCTTCCTGCCCCAAAGGACATCTGGACACGAGCCCGGGGCAGTGGCGTGCCGGGGTCAGTCACTGCAGGGTCTCACCTCCTTCATCCTCCCGGGGTCCCCTTCAAGGGGGGCCTTCTCCTCGCTCCCCTGCAGTGTGGGATGGATGGATGGGGTGTCGTGGAAGAGGGAAAGGCTGTGGATGTGTCTGCCTGGACGCCAGTAAAGCCTTTGATACTGTCTCCCAGAGCATCTTCCTGGAAAAGCTGCAGCCCACAGCTGGGACACTCCTGGGGGTTAAAACCCACCCGGAGAGGGGTGGGGACACATTCTATGGGGCCATGTCAGGGTCACCTTCACCCATGATCTCGGCAAGGGGATCAGTGGCACCTCAGCTCACAGATGACACGGAGTTGGGTGGGATGTGGGTGTGCTGGAGGGCAGGAAGGCTCTGCAGAGGGATGGGGACAGGCTGGATCCAAGGGCCGAGGCCAACAGGGGGAGGGTTAACAAGGCCAAGTGCCGAGTGCTGCCCTTGGGTCACACCATCCCCATGGAGCGCTTCAGCCTGGGGGAAGCGGCTGGAAAGCTGGGAAAGGCCCTGGGTGTGCTGGCGACAGCGGCCGGACGTGAGCCCAGGTGTGCCCAGGTGGTCAAGGAGGCCAACGGTCCCTGGGCTGTGCCAGCCCCGGTGTGGGCACAGGCCCAGGGCAGGGACTGTCCCC